TTTAGTGTAAGGGAGCAATGGGAAAGGGATTCTCTTGTCTCCAGCCCCGAATGCAGGGACCTGAACAGGATTAAATTTTCCTCATGTCTTAATAKGAAGAGGCTTCTTCAGAGGGTGGTTCAGAAACTTCTCTTTTTATTTAGGGGATGAGAGGATTTGCTTAAGGTGACCTGGGGTAGGTAAGGCTAAGAGGAGGAACTTTGAAATGTGGTGGCACAGCAAGGGCTAGCCAGGGATTGCCTGTCTATCCATTGCCCCCCAGCATGCAATTTTGAGATTTACTTGCTGTTCCCCCAGCTGGAACACTGATTTAAGTCTCAGACACATAAATTGAAATTATTTTCTTGCCTCTGAGAGACCTCTATGCTTCTGTCTAACCRAACTGAAAACAGCTAACCAGTTACAAGCCCTGGGAAGAAAGAAGGACTGGCATGTTCCTAAGGTGCACTGTCCGTGCCAAGAAAATAAAACAACACCAGTGCAAAGTACAAATGTTATATTGGTATTTGTATTTGTTACTCTAGAGGCATGCAAGGAATAATTTTTATAGTGAAAAGAGTTAATTACTGGAACAACCTCCCAGGGATGTAGAAGAGCCAAAATGCTAGAGGTTGATTTCAACGTGTGACTGGAGGCAGTGATAGGCAATTTCATCCAGGACAGGGTGGGTCAGATGACATTCTGAGGTCACTTTCAACCTGGGCCCTTCTGTGGCACTGCAGGATTTGTAACAGCTGTTAAGGCTTTATTGATTATASCTTTTGCATCTGGAAGAKGTAATCACACCAAGAAGCTGACCAAAGAAAGCAGCAGAAGGAAAGCCCAGCTGGAACTGCTTGACATCTGAAAGGGAACAGAGCTGGGCTGTGTTGGGACCCACCACTGTCCTAACACACAGTCCCCCTCCTTTAGATAGAGTGCAAGTTCTGGCCTTCAAATCCTCTATCACCTTTCAGTCATTCAACTACAAAGTGTGCTTACAAGAAAAAAAAAGTAGTTGAGGTCTTCACAAAGTTTCTGCCTGGTATTATAAATCACCATGAAAACCAGTTGGAAAACCTCCACTAAGCCATGCTGGGGAAGGTGCACAACCAGTCAGTGTCCTTGGCTACTCACAGACTTCCAAGCACACAGTCAAACCAGAATTTGTACCTTTACGGTGCCCTGTGCGTCTGTTGCTGCCTCACATGCCTGCCCACACTTCTCCACGGGGTCACCCAGCTGGCACCCCGACACCTGACAGCTGGAGAAAGCACAGGTGTCACAGGAACCATGAGCTCAGTTTATGGCAAGGAGGGACAGACCTGAGGCAGGATGAGGAGTGGCAAGAGTGCCTTTCTGCTATGGACCTGGGGTACGGAACAATTCTGGGATACTTCCACCAACCTTGGCCAGAGGAAATATCCCCGGTGGGGCTACTCATCCTCCATAAAAACACTTGTTGCCTTTGACCTGACCTTTTTATCATGCTGCTCTTACCCTACAGTTTTCTTCTTTTGGTGAGCAGAAGCAGGTGGTTCCTTCATCCCCCCTGAGAATGGGGAGGACATGGAGATCAGACAGAGGGGATTGACCTGCCTCCCCAGAGACAGGCCAATTCTCATTCTTTGTCAATAAATCCTAGATTTTCTGAACAACACCTGCAAGAAACACTGCAGGTTTGGGCAAATTCACCCCAGACTTGATACTTCAATCCAATTATGTGTCATGCTCACCTCCTCGTTCATCACGTTAAGCTCTTCTAAAATTACCCTCTAGTCCTCTGAATGAAAACACCTCACTCCTTCACTTCAAACACTGTGATAAACATAGATCCCTGTAATATGAGAAAAGAGGGTGAGGACCTTGCTGTATTTCATTATTTTTGTACTGCAGCAATGAATTTCAAAATAGCTTAGCAGTAGTAGTCATGCTTACTGATTTAGTGTACATTCCCTTCACTGCTCTTCAGAAATTTAGCACTTCTGGGAACAAGCGTGAAGATTTTGAATTAGTTTTTTTTCTCTCCTCTCTTCAGAAGGTTACAATATGACATTTTCTTGCTTTTTGTTTGGTTTGAATGAAGGTCTGTCTTCTCTTTCCTTCCTGCACAACTGTTCCCTCAATGAAAAGGGCTGGAAGACAGGAGAACCTTAATCTTCTAGCCTCACCTGGAAATGAACAGTACTTTTCCCTGTTGTTAACACCTGAAAGAACAAGCCCAAGGGGTTTTAAAGCTCCTTGCTAGGAATGGTTCATAAAAAAAAATTTAAAAAACTCCAGCAAATTAAAGAACTCCATCCCAAAGATGCCTTTTAACTATCATAAAAGTCCCAAATACATAAAATTAGGATTCTTTACTGCTTTTTACACAGTTTTAGTAGTCTTCTCGACTTGCTGTGCTTTATTTCTGGACTCAAAAAGCCAGGTGAGGCAGCTCCTCCAGCTCTAAGTACTGCAACAAGACAGTATTCAGCTCCTGAGAGCATCCTGGACTACGTGAGGCCCCCCTGAGTATGAGGCACCAGCAGGAAGGAGCACACTCACTCCTTTTCACATGGGCAGCTGTGCACAGAGTGCATCAGCAGGCAGGTGACCATTAGCACAACTCATGAGAGCACCTGCTGCCAGGTCAAACAGCCTTCAGATCCACCTCCAGCTTGGGTCATAGCTGGACACTTGAGTAACACACATGGCACCTTGAAAACACACCCCATGGATTTTGTGGGGCTGAAGGGCTGGTGAGCCCTGTGAAGCAGTATATTCTTGCTTGGAGAAGCAAGAGGTGAATTTTTCCAGCTGACTATCTACTGAATTTGATTTACCTGGGCAGAGATTAGATTAGATTGCAAGGCATTTTTTATCCATCCCCAGGGTACATGACTGGAGCTGGGAGGGAGACCACGGAGCTCACAAGCAGAATGAAGGCAGTTTTCTGGCCTCAGCTGAGGCTGCTTTGCAGCTGCAAAGCTCCACCGACCCCAGCAATGCTCGCAAAAGCAAGAGGAAATTCCTCCCTGAGTTGCTGAGTATGGCTTTTCCCAACATACATTTTTTTCCTTCATAGTGTTGCTTTTTTCTGTTCCCACGTTTATTTTCCCACAAGCATTTTGCAGGCTTGTCTGTGGTTGCACATTGCTCTCATTTCTTTCCAGCTTCTCACTTTATCACAAATTGGATCAAGTACAGAAAACAATTGCATCGTACTTTCCCCGTGTGATTGATGACACAGATATGTGCCATAAAACAGAACAAAAACAAGTACTTCCATCAGGCTCCTTTGAAACTTCAAAGTATTCCAGAGACCTTTCACAGCACCTAGCACAACTGAGTGCCTGTTGGCTAAGCTGGACAGAAACTAAGCACCATGCAGTCTAGGGAAAAAATAAAACAAAYTACTAGGGCCACACTCTGCATGCACCGTGGCCAGCTTGGGCTAAGGCAACTTTATTTTGTAAGCCACACTCTCTGCCTAGCTTTTGTAATAGGTGTGCTGTCCTCAAAATGCTGAGGACAAGGAAGTGATAGACAGTTAACACTTTACTTGATGAGGTCCTAAAAATCCATGATATATATATATGTGTATGTATGTATATATGTATATGTATTAATATAAAATTATAAATCTAATCACTGAAGTTACTTTTCTTCCAAAACCTGATTATTAAAGTAATTCTGAGACTAATGATAATCTAATTTTCTTTCCCCAGCAGCTCCACTCCAGCCAACCAACTGCTTACAAAAAAAAATTAAAGGGTGGAGATAAAGTGGGGAGCACAGGTTACCTAAAGTAGCAAAGCAGAATACTGACAGATGTTAGGCTGAATCTATCAGTCTAACATCTCAATAACCCTGCTGGTCTGTCATCTTCACTGTGGGTATCAAGCAGTGGTGGCTGCGAGATGACAGATGTTTCCTATGCGGGAGCACCAGCCTCCCAGGCAGTGCACAGCAGAGGCACCCTGGCCACAAATACTGTACTGCAGCACAGGATTTTTAATCACTGTCACCATCCTGCTCACACGCCTGACCTCTGTAACCGCACCGACAAGAGCTGTTATTCAGCATATTGTTGGAAAAGGGCAGAGATAAYGGCTCATCAGCACTTCCCCTCCCCACAACATCCCTTTCACAGAAGACCAAGAATCCCCTGCCCCTATTCATTTCCTGCTGGAAGTTTGAATGGCAGCCRGAGAGTAAAGTTACTTTACTAACATTGCAAACTAAATGCTAGATCAGCTGRGACAGATTTGACACATGAAAAGGGAAGGGCTAGAGTTATTTCAAATTATTTGCATTGCGTTTCTGTGTCAAGCGAAAAGTTTAGTAAGACAGACATCCCCAGCACTCTTGCCCAATGACAGACAAAAACCAAAATCCAAACTCTCAGCTTTTCACTAATATCTGAGGTAACACCCCATTGRCCACAGCGCTGAGTGACCTTGCCCTACACCCACAAGCTCAGAGCAGTGAGGGCACAAGGACAGAACAGCCTCCCCAGGCAGGTGTCTCGCACCCCCAAGGATGAGCAGTCCCTCCAGCTCAGCAGATGCCCCATGACCACTCACTCATTAACTAGCTGTGTCACCCTTGCGGGACGAGCTGTGGCATTCCACGCCTGTTACACAGCCCTTCCCCTGCTACTGCCCMCACTTCTGGCAGGAAAGGCATCTCTCCATGGCTCATTCAGAAGGCCCTTCATAAAGAAACAATCCTTGACCAACCATTAACAGGCCTGAAGTGACTGAGAGTAACAGCCCAGTCCTCCCTGCAGCGATGTGCACACAAACCTCCTCAGGAGATCCACTGCCTATCGAGGATTATTGCAGCTTTATGGATGGATGTCACTACAGTCCTCAAGTTATGACTSAAACAAGGTTTCATGCAAGAAGTGGGAAACATTTAGTGAGCCTGGGAAGGAGTGAGTACCACTARAATCACAACAAAACTCTGCAGTGCCCAAACCTCACAGGAATGAACCTACAATCCTGCAGGGAGCTGGGCCAGGTGCTGCCTCTTACCTGTTCTCCAGCAGYGTCATGCACACGACCTCCCGCACGCCTGGGTTGTTGGCTTTCTCGATGGAGCAGCTTTGCAGATTCCAGGTAGCCACTCTCAGGACAGGTCTGCCATCTCTCACCCCCCCAAACATCTCCACAGAGGGGCGAGTGGATATGATCTGGGTTGGACCCCCAGGAGGAAAGTCCAAGTCYTCGCTCTGGAGGCTTAGAGAAGTGGGGCTGGGGTGAGGCTTGGCCGTGAAGTTGAGGCCACCATTTGTGTTTGTTGAAGGGGGCCTGGAGCGCTCGGCAAAAATCTGGTGCCTGATTTTGTCCAGAAAGGAGGAATTGATGCAGTCCATCCTCACCAGGTCCTCGATACTTTTGAAGGGCCCGTGCTCCTTCCGGTAGTCCACGATGCTGTTGGCAATCTTCTCGGTGATGCCACGGATGCTCATGAGCTGCGCCGGGGTGGCGGTGTTGATGTTGATCTTGGTGGCGGACAGGTGGTGCTCAGAGGCCAGGTCCTTGCGCAGGGAGCTGGGCGAGTGCTGCGCCGAGCTGCCCTTGCTGCTCACGCAGATCTCGAACTTCACCTGCTCCAGCTTGGCCGCCCCCACCCCGCTCACCAGCGCCAGGTCCTCCACTTTCTTGAAGCCGCCGATGTACTCGCGGTACTCCACGATGTTCTGGGCCACCACCCGGGTGACCCCGGGCAGGGTCATCAGCTCCTCCTCGGTGGCCGTGTTGATGTTGAGCCTCTCCTGGTTGACGAGGATGTTGCTGAAGTTGCACGCCGCGCTGAACTTGCGGCTGTGGCACAGGTCGGCCGGGTCGCGGGGGATGGAGCGGTGGCAGCCCAGGCTGCCCCCCATCTCACCGCCGCCACGGGCCGCCGCCGGAGCCGGGGGAGCGGGCGCGGGGCGCTGCCGGGGCTGCCCGCCCGCGACTCATGGACCTCCGCGGGAGGCCGGCGGCGGAGCGGGGCCGGCGGGGCACCTGCGGACAGGCTCCGCGCCGCCACACACCCACCCTCGGTCAGCGGAGCTCTGCGCCCCGCGGAGGAGCCCCGCGCCTTCCCTCCTCCTCTTCCTCCTCCTCCTCCTCAGGCACCGCCGCTCCCGCGGCGCAGGAGGAGCCCCCACAGCCGCTGCCCGCCCGGCCGCGCTCCGGCCCCGGCGCTCGGCGCTGCCGCTCCCTTCGCCCCGCCGGCGGTAGTAGTAGCTCTGCGGGAGCCCCCGCCCCTCAGCCGGGCGAGGCGGGGCCTCCCTCACCGCCCCCGCCCCCCGGGCGTCACCCGCGCCGCGCCCGCCCCCGCCCGGGCACTGAGGGGACCGGCCGGGCTGGGCGGGAGCGGCACCGCCGGGGCTCCCTCCGGACGGGGATCAGCAGGGTGGACTCCTCCTTCCCTCGTGGGAACAGGCGGACCGGGAAGGTCCCCAGCGCTGTCGCCTGGCCGCTGAGGGCAGGCTGTKTCCGTCCCCAGGTGAAAGGACACCAAGGGCTCAGGTGCTCAGACGCTCCCTGCAGCGGTACTGTCCYAGAGGTTGCTGGGCTCGCCTCTCTGCAGCTGGCGGGGTATAAATGTGTTTTCAGACATCATGAAAGCCTCATCAGTCATCTCCACTGGCTTTTTTTGTGCTCTTGCAGGCATTATGCTTTTATACATCGGGGTAAAGTCTACATTTTTTACTTTTTTTATTTATAACATCTCAAGCAATTGCGAGAGTGCTCAACAAATTGAAAGTCCCCACGGAATGATGCTTTTGGACAGATTAGATCGGCATAGTAGATCTGCCTCAGCCCATGGCCCCTGGTCTGCAGCATGTCTAGCCTTTCCCCGACACAGAGTTAACCTCATTCCGCACCGAAATCATGGCTGTATATTGCCCGTGTGCCTGAGCTAGCTTTAACATAGTTTGTTCATGCCCCGCGAACCACAGCAGCCCACCATAGCCCATTTTAGTGAAGCCACTGAAATGTTTACCTAGTTTCGACTGCATTCCACTCCCGTGCTGCGCTGTCTGCAATGCTATCTTGTAGCCAAATTAGCTCATTGGAAACTAGCTTGACTGTGCCCACACAGGAGTGACTGCAATGTCAATGAATCCAAATATAATCGGTGGGTGTAATTGAAAGGATGGGGGCATTGAAAGAAGGAGCAACATATGAGTGCAGATGCCAGCTACGCACCCTGCTGCTGCCTGGTGCTGACAGTGTATATATATATATATATATATATATATATATGTATGCTGGACAGAATCTGGTACATGTATATTTTCAACATCAAGACTCTTGGATGGCCCTCTAATGAAAATGAAACCGCTTGCAACAGCATCTTATGCATGTATTTTTCATAGCAAGCTAATTTAGGTTCACCTGAAATAAAAAGTTGAATTTATTCATCTTCTTAGCGAAGGAAAATGTGATGTGCTTGAGGGAGTGCAGGCTGCACCAGGCTTTACCWGGCTCTCAGACTGCACAGGGTGCTTTAACACTGTCTCTGGGTGCTCTGCTGCGCATCACACATTTGCCTTCTGTTCGGCTGAGCAGCAGAGTTAGCAAATTATCATTACGGGAACGGCACCGGCTGCATTAGGGCACTGGCTGCATTAGGGCATTGGCTCTCTGCTGGCTGCTGGAGTGGAGAAAGTGCTCGCTGAGGTGATTAAATGCTTCCACGTCTGCTGGAGAGTGCTCTGTGCACTGCGATAACAGCGGCCAATGCAGCAGGAGTCATGCTGGGCCTATTCCTGCTGGGATGATACCAGCACAGAGCTGGAAACAATTAACCATTGAAATGAGTGCTCTTTGCAAGGCAGTGTTATTGCAGTAATAGCTCTGCAAGCTGTTATCTCAATGGAGAACTCACTCCTTTGCTTTCTACAGCAGGTTGCTTTGAATTGATCCAGGCTCATTAAGTAAGTTTTGAAGCTGAAAAAGCACCAAAATCCATCTGAGGCATCATCTACATCGCAGGCAGCAACAGGTTTTCTGTGTTTCAGAAGAAGAGGCAGGAGCATCTTCAGAAAGAAAATAACAGATATTCCTYTGGGCCAGCACTGTGTGTTGACAGCAACCAATCATTTCTTGAATCTGCAGCACCAAAATAACCAGTGARACTGGATGCAGCTGAGGAAGCAGAGTTCAGAGGAATGCAACAAGTGTCCCATCACCTAATCCAGAGAATGACCTCACGCTGATGTGAAATACACAGGGGAGAATGAGGGGATTATCATTCCAACAACCCCTTATCCATATTTTTTTTTATTTTTTGTTGGCAGTTACAGGAAGCTTACTGAGGTCTGAKTCAACCTTTGGCACATTTCAGGAAAGCACCCAAAGATGCAAAAAGGTAGACGGTTTGTTTATATCTTGAATAGTTAAACAAAAACAAACAAACAAAAAAAAAGATTAATCAATTGGCCTGACACCAGTGTTAGGCAATCCACTAACTTGAGAAAGCTAAAAATGAGGTTCAGTCAGTAAATTATTGAAAAAAACAATGGCAAAATTATTGACAGCCAGAGTAGACAACAGCAAATATATCTTGTGAAACCTAGGTAGATACGAGATTTTATCTTTGATCCAATCCTGAGCTCAGTGTCTGTAAATTTATTTAAGAAGAGATTGACTGATCTTGATATCCTGGTGATCACTGGCTGGCAGGTAGCCTCCCTGGTCTGCTTGGCACCTATCCTGGCAAGGGGCCATGAATCCAGGATTCCTGAATCTCCATCAGCCCCAACAGGTTTAGAGGGCTCTGAGACACCGTGGGTGGCTTATTCCTCTGTATCTGCAGCTCTCTGCCTACCGAGCAGCTGGCTGCTGGCCAGGGCTGGCTTAGAAACCTCTCAGTGACAGCRAAATTGAGTTTCACTGCTCTGAGGGTATGAATCTGGGGAGGACCTCACAGGGCCAGGCAGGGCCCAGCAGTGAGAGATGCGGGGGGGACACCCTCAAATGGGAGCAGTCATCACTGTTCATGCAAAGTCTTTTTGTGTTTCGCTGGGGAGTGTTACAAAGCAAGGAGATAGGGAGCAGTGGTTTTATCAGTGCCCAGTAGCCATTTGTTGATCTTGGACTTGGTTTGCCACTGTCTGCAGCCCTTCTTGACTGAACATGTCACATCCTGTCCCCCTAAACAGGTAGTGAGACTGRTTCCTGGATAGCTGAGTGGCACCAGGGTGAGGAGCGGGCCACRCCAGAAACACAGGGATAGGGTTGTGTCACCTGCTTGCCACTTCTGGAGGTCTCAAACTCCATTCTCTTGCAGGAATTCTTCAAAGAGGAAAGAAGAAAACCAAACTTTTTCCATGGGAAGGAGGCTGTGCAGTACTTAAGACATATAAATGCAGTGTTTAAGGATGATATGGAAGTGCTTGAACCYGATGGAGTGGGAGCAGGTACTGGTGAGCAATGTCTTTTGGCATCATTCATGTGAAGAATCAGCCCACAGGCCAATAGATTTAAAAAACTAAATTCTTAGCATTTTAAGACTGTCTTAAAAGAATCTATTAATATATTTTTACACTTTTCAACATCCCCCGTCTAAACTGCAGAGGCTCTAAACAAATAAACTCAGTTTTTAAGATGAGGGATAGAAGAAGCCAGAAGATGTTGCTCAAYAGAAAAACACAGAGTTTGCCTTCAGTCTTCAGGCAGCAATTGCAGTTCTTACCAGACCACCGTGTGATAGCAGCACCTTTTCCAGGTCTCACACAGCCTTGGGGGCTTGGCAATCACACTTTTAGAGATGATGCTTTCAGACCTGCTGCACCGGGCTCTTATTGGGCAAGAAATCAAAACGGCAGCTGATTAACTTCCATGCCTATATTCTTATTTAAGAGAGCTATTAAAGTAATTGTTTTCTTTCTGCAAGGACATCTTCAGTAACACTTGTAACAGATGCCCGAGGCAGAAGACAGGCAGTGTTATTATGAAGACAAGTAATAACAAGTAGGAGCGAGCAATTTCATGAGCGGTGGGACTTAAAAAGTCTGATTCCTGTTGGCTCTTCCCTTTGTTGATCTTCTGATCTTTATCAATAAAACTGAGTCTGCATTAGTCTCTCAGTGGGGTCACTAATCTGGATGTCTCTGTTCTACATTGCCATCAATATTTGTGGCTCTTAGAAACTTTACATTTTTGAGACATTTATTCTTCAAATTTGCTTCAAATTAGCCCACACTCCAATAAAACCCCTGGGGAAGGGGTGAGGGGCAGAGTAGCAGAGCACACAATCCCATGAGTTTTTCCTTAGGAATCCAGTGTCTATGATGTGAGCTCTTTTTCCTGTAAGGCATTCTATATAGCTGCCAAACTTGTTGCAAAAAAAGTGATGTCACCAGTGCTGTGTTGCCAGGTTACGAGTGTCACATCCTACAGTGAAATACAGTCAGAAGGGTGAGCACAAGTGAGTCATCCTCAGACCTTGATTAGGGCTTCTCTTGGGTTGGGGTTCAGTCTGAAACCCAAACCTYTCCCTCCCAGAGGAGATCTCAGCCACTGGCTCACCACTSCACAGTCGGACAGCTCATCCTAGAGGGAAACAAGAGGAACCCAAGYTAGAGAAGATGTTTCTCCAGCRGAGCAGGGAATGCATTTTCCAGTWTCCATAGACAGGGGGGAATTTGATTCTCATGCTCCACGTCTGAGGTGACAATTACTCAGATATCCCGTGGGTCTCAAGGATGGAAAGGAATTTAAAAATCTTGTCCTTCCTTGACCCCAGGCAGGCTCATTGAGGCCAATCTTACAGAAGTTTGCCTGTTCCAGGCCTCCAGTGGTGGCATCTTCTGAACTTCCCAGATGAGAAACACAGGAATGCAATGGAGCTGTGTCCCGGCTTGTGGGGTTTTTCTCAGACCTAGCCCACCAAGCCTGTAGTAAAAATGCCCACAATTGACTGCTGTGTGAATCTGACACGGGGGAGWGTCAGAATTGGTGACTTGAGCCAGGTGCCTAAGCTCTCACCCAAAGGGCAAGCTKGCTGTAGCTCCACCCAAAGGCAAGCAGCAGGTGGATTTTTGTGAAAACAATACAGGCGATGAGATTTTAGTCACCTTGAGAGCCAAGCAGGAGAAGAGGAAAGGTAAACCAATATACTGGAAAGGGTTGTTCAGGTTGTTCAGAAGCTTTCAGCACTTCACACAGCACTTCGGCTATCAACAGTTGGACTGCCAGCCTCTCAATTGAATTAATTA